TACATTTCTTTTCCAAATTTCGATTTTTCGATTGATGGGACTAAACGACTTTTTGATTTTGGATTTTTGACTTTTAGACTTTCCATTTTTTCGATTTTTCGAGTTTTGTATTTTCAGACTTAGACCTTTTAATTTCTGGATGTTTTCAGAACTTCAGATTTTTCGATATTTCAACTTTGATTTTTGAATTTTTCCATTCATCTGTGGTTTTTTGGACTTTTCGGTTTGTGATTTTTTTAATTTTTCGATATATGTAGATGGAAATCTCGATTTTTCAATTTTTGGATTTCGCCACGTCATTTCGAATTTTCGTGTTCTGGATTTTTTGATTTGTAGAATCGTAGATTTTTGAAAATTTCGATTTCTCCTTTTTTGATTTTTTGACTTTTCGATTTCCCGATTTTTCGACTTCCGTTTTCGACATTTCGTGTCTCGATTTTCCGATTTCCCGATTTGTAGACTTTGATTTTCATGTTTCGTTTTTTGGTTTTTTCGAATTTCGAGTTTTGATGTTTTCGATTTTTCGAGTTTAACAGTTTTGGATTTTTCTAAATTTCGATTTTTGGATTTTTCGATTTTTAGAATTCTCAACTTACACTTTTTAATTTTTGGATTTCCTCTTTTTACGAATTTGATTCTAGGATTTTTTTGATTTTTGCATAGTTCAATTTTTCGACTTTTCGATTTATGATTTTTGAATTTTTCGATATTTCAAAATCTCGATTTTTCGACTTTCCGAAATTTCGAATTGTCGAGTTTTGGATTTTTTGATTTATCGATTTTTAGATTTTTCAAATATTCGGTTTTTTGACTTATCGATTTCTCGAATTTTCGACTTACATTTTTTCGAGATTTTGAGTTTTAGATTGTTTGAAATTTCAATTTCTAGTTTTCTCAATTTAGATTTTTCAATTTCTCGATGTTTCGACTTTCAGATTTTTCGATTTTCCGACTTCGACTTTTCAATTTGTCGAGTTTTAGTTTTTCGATTATTCAGTTTTGGATTTGACATTTTTTACGACATCGATTCTATGATTTTTCGATTTTTGTATTAATCAATTCTTCGACTTTTCGATTTTTAAATTTCTCAATTCATTTGAGTTTTCGATTTTTGGATTTTTCGACTCTCCGATTTATGATTTGTCAATTTTTTGACTTTTTAAAATTTCGAATTTTCGAGTTTGGTTTTTTGATTTATCGATTTTTGGATTTTTCGAATGTTTGTTTTCTCGATTTCCCCATTTTCGACTTTTCGTTTTTTCGACTTGGATTTTTCGATTTTTTTGACTTTTCGATTTTTGGATTTGTGTATTCTTCAAATGCTTGATTCTTCCATTTTTGTATTATTCTGACTTCTCGATTTATTTGATAATCCGACTTTTCGTGTTCTCGATTTCTAGATTTTTCAATTTCTCAGTTTTTGAATTTTTCGCTTTCGATTTTCTGAATTTTTGATTTTTAATTTTGCGACTTTTGTATTTGTCGAATGTTCGATTTTTCGATCGATTCTTCAAATTTTCGATTTTTCATTTCCAGCTTCTTTAATTTAGCGATTTTACCACTCCCTCTGTTTTTGCGAAGTTTGGATTTTCTGCTTTATCGATTTTTGATTTTTCAATTTTCGATTTTTTAATTTTTTGACTTCGATCTCTCAGATTTTCGAATTACGGATTTTTGACTTTTCATTTTTCGAATTTTTGAGTTTCGACTTTCGGTTTTTTTAAATTGTCTACTGCGATTCTTCTATTTTTACATTTCTTTTCCAAATTTCTCGATATTCTGATTTCCCGATTTTTAGACTTCGATTTTTTTACCATTTCATGTTTGGTTTTTTGGTTTTTTCGAATTTCGAGTTCCGACTTTTCATTTTTTCGAGTTTTGGATTTTTCTAAATTTCGATTTTCGGATTTTTCGATTTTTCAGTATTTCGATTTGTAGATTTTTCAATTTAGACTTTTTGATTTTTGGATTTCCTCATTTTATGAGTTTGATTATAGGAGTTTTCGATTTTTGGATAGTTCAATTATTCGACTTTTCGATTTATGATTTTTGAATTTTTCGATATTTCAAAATCTCGATTTTTCGAAATTTCGAATTGTCGAGTTTTGGAGTTTTTGATTTATCGATTTTTAGATTTTTCAAATATTCGGTTTTTTGATATCGATTTCTCGAATTTCAGATTTTTCCATTTTACGATTTCGACTTTTCGATTTGTCGAGTTTTGGTTTTTCGATTATTCAGTTTTGGATTTCTCTTTTACGAGTTAATTTCTCGATTCTTTTGAATTTTCGATTTTTGGATTTTCCGACTCTCCGATTTATGATTTGTCAATTTTTTAAGTTTTTAGAATTTCGAATTTTCGAGTTTTGGTTTTTTGATTTATCGATATTTGGATTTTTCGATTATCCATATTTGGATTTTTCTTTTTAGGACTTCGATTCGACGATTTTTCGATTTTTGAATTGATCAATTCTTCGACTATTCGATTTTTCAATTCTCAGATTTCCCAATTCTTTCGAGTTTTCAATTTTTCGACTTTCCTATTTGTGATTAGTTAATTTTTAGACTTTTCATATTTTCGATTTTTTGACTTATCCGATTTCTCGAATTTTCGACTTACATTTTTTCGAGTTTTCGAGTTTTAGATTGTTCGAAATTTCATTTTCTAGTTTTCTCAATTTAGATTTTTCAATTTCTCGATGCTTCGACTTTCAGATTTTTCGAATTTCCGACTTCGACTTTTCGATTTGTCGAGTTTTGGTTTTTTGATTATTCAGTTTTGGATTTCTCTTTTTACGACTTCGATTCTACGATTTTTCGATTTTTGTATTAATCAATTCTTTGACTTTTCGATTTTTAAATTTCTCAATTCTTTTGAGTTTCCGATTTTTGGATTTCTCGACTTTCCGATTTGTGATTTGTTAATTTTTGAATTTTTTTAAATTTCGGTTTTCGAGTTTTGGTTTTTTGATTATCGATTTTTGGATTTTTCAAAATTTCGAATTCTCTATTTTCCGATTTACCTGTTTTTACACTTTGATTTTTCGACTTTTTCACTTTCGGATTTTCGATTTTTGGATTGATCAATTTTTCCACTTTTCGATTTTTCAATTCTTTCGAGTTTTCGATTTTTCGACTTTCCGATTTGTGGTTTAATTTTAGGATTTTTCAAAATTTCGATTTTTTCATTTTTTGATTTTTTGACTTTTTAATTTCAGATTTTTCGACTTCCATTTTTCAGTTTCTCGATTTTTCGATGAATTGTTTTTTGAATTTTTCGACTTTGCGATTTTTGAACTTTCCTACGGCAACGTCAGCGACAAGTTTATAAATCGATCTGAAATCGACTCCGTTTTTGAATTTCTCGATTTTTCGACATTACGATTTCTCGATATTCTGATTTCTCGATTTTTAGACTTCGATTTTTCGATCTTTTCATGTTTCGTTTTTTGTTTTTTTCGAATTTCGAGTTCCGACTTTAATTTTTTCGATTTTTGGATTTCTTCTCCACTTTTCTATTTTTCGATTGATGGAATTTTTTATTTTTTAACTTTCCATTTTTTCGATTTTTCGAGTTTTGGATTTTTCTAAATTTCGATTTTCGGATTTTTCGATTTTTTAGTATTTCGATTTGTAGATTTCTCAATTTAGACTTCTCAATTTCTCGATATTTAGACTTTGACTTTTCGATTTTTGGATTTTTTTTCTTTTAACAACATGAAACTTAAAATATGTTCAAAATGCAAAATTTGTATAAGGAAATATCGAACATTTTAACCATGTCATAAGTTTGAAATGAAAAGATGGCTATGTATATTAAGGAAAAAAGACCAAATATAAGCCCCGCCCGCCCGCCCTATCTCTATTCTGATGATTCTTTTTTATTCGTCGTAAGCCGAGGGGCGGAGCTTAACTGTAAAATCCTTATTTCTCTACTAGAAATTACCATGTAAGACATGTTTTTGAGTATCGTGTTATTCAAAAAATACTATGTACATATATTAGGAAAAAATTAAAGCGAAATATGAAGCCCCACCCACACCTACCCTGATCTAAATAGTAATGAAGTTTTCATTTGTTGGTAGACCTAGGGGCGGAGTCTAATCCGAATTTCTTTACAAAAATTTACCATTGTAAACGTGTTTTAAGTTTTTAAGAATAAAAAAAAGATCATCACAATTGCGGTGGGGTGGGTGGGCGGGGTATATATTTTGTGTTTTTTTTCTTAATATAGATAGGATTCTTTGAACAACACGATACTCAAAAATATGTTTTTAATTTCCTGTCAAGAAATAAGTATCTTTCAGTTAAGCTCTGTCCCCTTGGTTTATGGCAAATAAAAAAAATCATCACAAATGATATAGGGCGGGTGGGCGGGCTTACATTTTGCCTTTTTGTTAGAATTACGTATAGACTTGTTTTCACAACAAGAAAGTTAAAACCATATTTTAATTAAGTTGAACTAATCACATGAAGTCTTTTTTCGTAGATGGAGTTTAGATGAGGTATATATAATGATACATCATATGATTAGTTGTTATGCAAAAATAAGTGTTATCATTTTTAATTAATTCCAAGTTATCACTGATTCTGTGTAAAGTCTTACGTAACTGAAATCCACTGGGAAAAAAAACGTTGGCTTTTGAGTGCAGGCAAAAATTGATTACAATAAAAACAAATGTAACAAGAACGAGGGTTCAGTAAATTTCTCCGTGTAGTAAAAACAAAAGTTATCAGTTTTTTGTGTTTGGATTTATCAAAACATGCTTATTAATAAATAATTATTATTATTATTTATTTGAATAAAAAAAGTGCTTATCGCCTTGTAACAGTAACAAAAATATAAATGGAAGCTGATGGAGATGAATCTAATTTTTTTGTCAAAAAATTCAATCTAGTTTTGAGATGATGAAAACCCGCAGAGAGGAGGCGGAGAAGTCTAATAACCTCGATGGATACCTACAATACTTTTGCGTGCAGAAGTACAAAATGATACAAAATTTTTGCTCCAGAATCTTTATTATGAATTACAGGTATGATTTTATGTTGTGTAAAATTAAGGCAACGTTCTCATAGTAGGAAACTGACCAGTGGAATTGCATATTTCGACAGAGTTCGTCATGCGTATTCTAGAATCTCTCTGATTCTCAACGGCCCATTTAGCAATTTTCAACAAACATTCACAGTCCCATGGGTTATCATCAATATCAGTTAAGAGAGCAGTAAATAAATTCGCGTAGTTTCCTTCCAAACACTGCAATTTATTCGTTGACATATCAAGACTTCTAACCCTCGCACCCTTCAGAAAATCTGCCTTCCATTCTTCTATTTTGTTACCAGCCAGGACCAAGTGTTCGAAAATCAGATCGTTATCAATTCGTGACACATTCTGAATGTAGAAAACCTCATTGGGTAAATGTTCGATCTGATTATACGCTAAATTGATACTAAGCTGTGGATTCCATTTGAACCACTCTCGGTGCACAATTTGGATTTTGTTGTTGTTCAAATCCAAAGACTTTAATTGTGGCATGTTGTCAAAAGCATGTGGAGAGATTGTTTCGATAAGATTACGGCCCAAATCAAGGTATTGGACTGTCAAGTTTGAGAAAACTCCGTCTTCGATCGTTGTTATCTTGTTTCTTGGAAGTCCTATACTCACTAGAGCATTGTCACCAAATGCGCCAGGCTGAATTTCTTCGATTTCACATCCCGGCAACTCTAGATTCCTCAAAAGTGGGAAACCTTTGAAGTCATTTGCGTAAATAATAGGAAGCGAACCTTCAAGTACGTGGATTACGACAATCTGAGAAGCGTTAGATTCAGTCTCGAGTTTATTTACGGAATTTATTTCAACAATGGCACCTTGGTTGTTTTCGGTTACATAATAACGGATTTTAATTTTCGAAGTTGTGTTCTCGGATAACACACGAAGAACAAATGTGGCAAGGAAAATAATAAGCGAACTTCGTGCCAACATGTTGAACTGCAACAGTGTTTACTTTGACTGGAACTTAAGTAAGAAATATATCATAGCTGATACATGACGCAGTTGTTATGCAACAACAAATGTTATCATTCTTAATTAATTCCGAGTTATCAGAAATTCGGCAAAAAAAATGCAATTTTTGTTTCGATAACGCGTAAACATTTATGTCATAGATATTCACGACTTTTTAGAATTTAGTAGACCATGTTTTTTTGCTTTTTCTTGGCAACTATAACTGATTTACGTGGTTTTTTGTACATATTTGGAATGAATACTTTGTGTTATCCTGAAAGCCATTCTTAGTAAAAATGTCGGTAAACATCATAATTCACACGTTAGTTCTGAAAAAAATGATTTTTATCATGCTAACAAAGCGAAAAGTGAAATAATAAACTAATAATAAATAAAAAAATATAAGATTGTGCTCTAGTGTACATATTGAGTTGCCTACTTTATCTCCAAAAATAATTAAGTAATTATAGCACTATAATTATTCATTCAACTTTTTTATTAATGACACTTTACTTTAGAAATTCATGTAGAGATTTTTTTAATTCATATTTGATATATTATACTTTAATATTTTCAAACATTAATAATTTAATATTTGTAATAAAATCTTGTATTTAATCTTTCTCCTTCAATCAAAAACTTCCTGATGAAATTTTTCGTTTTACTGAAGATTTCGGAATCAATTTTTCGCTTTTTATTAAAGATTTTTGGAATGAATCGCTCCTTTCGCCTGTTACTAAAGATTTTAGGGTTGATTCTTTCGATTTTTCGCGTTTTACTAAAGAGTTTTTCGTCTTTTACTAAGTTTTCGAACTGAATTTTTCGTCTTGCAGTAAAAAATTTCACAATGAAAATGTCGCCTTTGACTACAGATTTTCGAAATTAATTTTTCGCCTTTTTCTGAATATTTTCGAAAGGAATCTCGCTTTTTACTAAAGATTTTCAGATGGAATCTTACCTCTTTTACTAAAGATTTCCAGACTAAATCTTTCGCTTTTTACTAAAGATTTCCGGATAAAATCTTTTACCTTTTACTAAACCTTTTCAGATGGAATCTTACCCCTTGTTTTCACAAGATTTCCAGAATAAATCTTTCGCTTGTTACTAAAGATTTTCGGATGCAATTTTTTGTCATGAATCTTTCACTTTTTACTAGCATTTTTAGAAGAAATCTTTCGATCTTTCTCCTTTTTAAAGTCAAAAGATCGCAAATTAGAAAAGAAATGTAAAAATAGAAAAATCGCAATAGACAAATCGAAAAAACCAAAAGTTGATACTCAAAAATTTGAAAAAACAAAAATCAAAAATTTAAAAAATCAAAAACCGATAAAGCAGAAAATCTAAAATTTGAAAAACAAAGGGGGTGGTAAAATCGCTAAATTAAAGAAGCTGGAAATGGAAAATTGAAAACTCTAAAAATGGAAAAATCGAAAAATCTAGAAATCAAAAATGTCAAAAAAATCGAAAAATCCAAGTTGAAAAATCGATAAGCCGAAAAAGCCCTTGAAAAATTCAAAACATCGAAAATGGCAAAAATCAAAAAAACGAAAACGGAAAAAACAAAAACTCAAAAATCCAAATCAAAAAGTCGAAATATCAAAAAATTTAAAAATCGAAAATTTGCAGAATTGCTCGATATCTCTCGAGAAATCCAAAAATTAAAAAACTGATAAGTCGAACAGTCGAAAAATCGAAGAATTCAATAATGGAAAAATAAAAAAAAACAAAAATTGAGGAATCGAAAAAACGAAACTTTGGAAAATCGAAAAAATCCAAGTCGAAAATTCGAGAAATCGATAAGTCAAAAAGTCGAACATTTGAAAAATCTAAAAATCGAGAAAAGTGGAAAAGAAGTCCAAAAATCGAAAAAATGAAGAGTCGGAACTCGAAAGTCGAAAAAACCAAAAACGAAAAATAACAAAGTCTAAAAATAAGGAAATCGGAAAATTGAGAAATCGTAATGCCGAAAAATCGAGAAATTCATAAACGGAAGTCGAAAAGTCAAAAAAAGAAAAAATGGAGAAATCGAAATTTTCAAAAACCTAAGAAACCACAGATCAAAAATTCGAGAACTCGAAAATTCGAAATGTTGAAGTGGCAAAATCCAAAAATTGAAAAATCGAGATTTCCATTTATGTCGAAAAATTCAAAAATCAAAGTCGAACAATTGAACACTAGAAAAATCGAGAAATCCTAAAATCAAAGTCGTAAAAAAGAGATATCCAAAAATCGAGAAATCAAAGTCGAAATATCGAGAAATCTGAAATTCTGAACACATCCAGAAATTAAAAAGTCTAAATAAGTCTAAAAATACAAAACTCGAAAAATCGAAAAAATGGAAAGTCAAAAAGTCAAAAAATCCAAAATCAAAAAGTCGAAAAATCCTATCAATCGAAAAATCGAAAATTGGAAAAGAAATGTAATAAAAATAGAAAAATCCCAGTAGACAAATCGAAAAAACCAAAAGTCGAAACTGAAAAAATCGAAAAAACCAAAAATCGAAAAATGAAAAAGTCAAAAAGCGGTATTTCGAAAATCTGAGAAATCGAAGTAAAAAAATCAAAAAATCGAAAATGTGAAAAATCCAAAATCGATAAAGCAGAAAATCCAAAATTCGAAAATGAAAGATGAAAATGAAAAATCAAAATCGGAAAAATCGAACATTCGACAGATCGAAAAATCGAAAAATTAAAAAATCAAAAAATTAGAAAATCCAAAGCGAAAAACCCAAAAATTGAGAAATTGAAAAATCTAGAACTTGAGAACACGAAAAGTCGGATGATCAAAAAAATCGAGAAACGAAAAAATCGAGAAGTTGGAATAATGTAACAATGGAAGAATACAAAAATCCAAAAATCGAAAAATCCAAGTCCAAAAATCGATAAGCCGAAAAAGCCCCCGAAAAATTCAAAAATCAAAAAAACGAAAACGGAAAAAACAAAAACTCAAAAATCCAATTCAAAAAGTCGGAAATCTCAAAAAATTTAAAAATCGAAAAATTGCAGCATTGCTCGATATCTCGAGAAATCCACAAATTAAAAAACCGGGAAATCGAAAATTTGACAATTTGAAAAAAAAAAACGAAAAATTGAAAAATGGAAAAATCTTTGAAACTAAGCCGAAAAAGCCCCCCAAAAAATTCAAAAATCAAAAAAACGAAAACGGAAAAAACAAAAACTCAAAAATCCAAATCAAAAAGTCGGAAATATCAAAAAATTTAAAAATCGAAAAATTGCAGCATTGCTCGATATCTCGAGAAATCCAAAAATTAAAAAACCGGGAAATCGAAAATTTGACAATTTGAAAAAAAAACAAAAATTGAAAAATGGAAAAATCTTTGAAACTCTGAAAAATCGAAAAGTCGAAAATGGGGAAATCGAACGTTCGAATGCAAAAATTCAAAAACCGTAAAATCACAAAAATTAAAAAATCGATTAGTCAAAAAATCGACAAATAGAAAAAACAACGTAGAAAAATCTAAAAATCGAACATTCGAAAATTCGAAATGTCCAAAAAACCAAAAATCAAAAATCGAAAACAGGAAAAATCGAAAAAACGAAAAAAAAAAACAAAAACGTACAATCCAAAAATCGTAAAACTCAAAAATCCAAATCAAAAAATTTAAAAATCGAAAATTTGGAGGCTCGAAAAATTCAAAAATCGAAAAATCAAAAAACCAGAATGAAAGTCGAAAATTAAAAGAATTGTTCGAAAAATCAGCTAAAAATTGAACAATAAAAAAATCGGAAAATCTTACAATCAAGGTCGTAAAAAAGAGAAATATTAGAAAGTCGAAAATTTCAAAAATTTAAATTTCGAAAATTCCAAAACTCGAAAAATCGAAAACATGGAAAGTAAACGAAAAATCGCAGTAGACAAATAAATAGAATAGAAATAGAAAGAACGAAAAGTCGAAACTCGAAAATTCGAAAAGACCAAAATTTGAAAAATTAAAATCTAAAAATCGGGAACTCGAAAATCCGAGAAATTACAGTCAAAAAAAAAAACAATTGAACATTTGAAAAATCAAAAAATCGATAAAGCAGAAAATTCAAAACTCGAAAATTCGACGAACAGAAAAATCCAAATTCGAAAAATCGGGAAATCGAATAATCCAAAAATTGAAAAATCGAAACATTAAACAATCGACAAATCAAAAAATCGGAAAAAAAGAGAAATACAAAAATCGACAAATCAAAAAATCGTAGAAATCTGAAAGACGAAACATCAAGAAATTGAAATGTCGAAATTCGGAAATCTAGAAACTGAAAAGTCGAAAAATCCAAAAATTGAAAAATAAAAAAAAAGAAGATGAAAGGTCCAAAAATACAAAATCGAAAAATCGAAAAACCGAAAAATAAAAAATTCGAGTAATCAAAACATCTAAATATCGAAAAGATGAAAAATTGGTAAACTGGAAAGACGAAAAATCGAAAAATTCAAATATAGAAAAAACGAAGTAAAAAAGAGAAATCCAAAAATCGAAAAGTCGAACAATCCAAACATCGAAAAATGAAAACCAAAAATATGGAAAAATCCGAAAATCTTGAAAAATAAAAGAAATCCAAATATCGAAAAATTTAGAAAACGAATAGTGGAAAAGTCAAAAACCGGGAAGTCGGAAAATCGTGAAATCTTACAAGCCGAAACATCGAGAAATTGAAAAGTCTAAATTGAGAAATCTAGAAATCGAAAAGTAAAAAAAACACGAAAGATCCAAAAATCCAAAATTGGAAAAATCGAGAAACTCAAAAATTAAAAAATCCAAAAATCGAAAAATATATAAAACGAAAAGTTGAAAAATCGGGAAATGGAAAAATCCAAGTACTCAAAAAATGTATACATCGAAAAGTTGAAAAATTGGGACACCGAAAGTCGAAAAATCGAAAAATTCAAATATTAAAAACAAAAAAAAAGTCCAAAAATTGAGAATTCGAAAAATCGACAAATAGAAGAAACGAAAATTCGAAGATTCGATAAATTCAAAAATCAGTTGGAAAAGTGGAAAAGTCGAAAGTCGAGAAATCGAAACATAAAAAATGTAAAGCTCGAAAAATCGAAGAAACGAGATGTTGAAAATTCCAATTAAAAATTGAAAAGTCAAAAATCGGTTAAAATTGAAGTTTCCATTTAGTAATTTCAATTCGATGAACGTATCGTTGGTTGCCTGCTTCCGTCCGCAAAAACGAAAACAGGAAATAAACAACACAAACGTGAACGAAAAAATCTAATTTTACGACCACACAATTCTGATAAAAAACGTTAATGTATACGTTTGGCCTCCATTAATATTTAAAGTCTAGCTTTTTAGTTACCACCACAGTAGGTATAGAGTAACCAACAACTAAACCATCATGCTTATTTGGTGGATTGTGTTTAAATCGTTGAAAATTTTCACCGTTGATGGAGCCCTAATCCAAAATTTAGGCGGCCAGTGGCTCCTCAACGAAAACAACCAAACGACTAAATCGATTTTAGGTCTGGTAAATCTTACAGCAACCGTCCCGGGCGGCATTTACACCGACCTAATGAACAACCGGATCATCGGCGACATATTGTATGGAAAAAACGACACCGCAACTAGATGGGTCGCCAAAACCGACTGGACCTACAAAAGAAACTTCTTGGGTTAGTCAAGTCATCCTCATGCGCGTTTCATTCATATTTTTCATTATTTCAGTCGACGAGAATTTACGCAGCTACGCTGTCACGAATATAGTGTTTGAGGGCTTGGATACGTTTGCCAGGGTGCTTATCAACGATATGGAAGTCGGCAGGAGCGAAAATATGTTCGTGCGTTATATCTTTGACGTAAAACAGCTGTTACAGGTGGCAATTGTGCTATTATTTTGTGTGTGTATAAATAATTGGGAATTTTATTTTTCAGGTTGGCTACAATGAAGTCGAGGTTAGATTTGCGTCCCCTGTTAAAATTGGAAATATTTTGGCCGAGCGACAAACTTATCCTCTACCTTTTGGGTGTCCACCCAGTGTAAAGTACCATGGAGAGTGCAACGTCAATCAGATGCGGAAAATGCAAGCATCGTTTACTTGGGATTACGCGCCGGCTTTTCCCTCGATGGGTATATGGTACGTATTGAAAGGCGGAGTTTTGTATAAAGGGCGTGGCTAAAGCACCCAATCACAACACTTTAAGGCAAGACGTGTACTTAGAAGCGTTCAATTCATCCGTGGTACGTTATCTCGTGGTCGACAACGAAGAAACAACCAATGGGTGGATTTTACAAGTCTCTACCTACTTAAGTGCGAAGAAAAGACAGAACGTTTCGGGTAAACTTAAGTACAAGCTTAATCTGGACACATCGTCGATTACCAAAGTAGTAGTAGTCGACACAAGGGCGGAAAGTGACGAAGTTAGAATTGATTTTACGTTCGCACTTCCAAAAGTAGGAAAGTTATCTAAATATTTAAGATTTCGATTTAATTCTTAATTAACTTAAGGGTGTTGTTCGGAAATGGTGGCCACGTGGCTATGGCGAGCAAAAATTGTACAATCTGTCAGTTTCCTTCCACAGTGGTGCCGAAATAAGTTCTAAAAGTGTGAGAGTTGGGTTTAGGACGGTGAAGTTAATTCAGGAACCGGTGGGTGAGTAAATGTGCATTATGGGGTTGTCGAAATATTTTCAGAACGTTATTAACAAAGTATTTGTTAGTACCGGACCGATTCTTATTAAATTTGTAGTGTATGTCCCTCGTCCCCACCAACAATGTGATGACGTCACCTTAGAATGTTACACGTTGCTTAAATTTTATGAAATAACACATTCCTATATTTGTGGTTTATGAATCCGTTGTTTCTTCAATTTTTTCGTCCGAACTTTTAAATTTTTTATTTCTTTAGTTTATTATTTTCTCCAATTTTTCATCTTTCAAATTTTGTAATTTTTCGTTCTTTCAATAATTCTTCGATTTTTCGTCTTTTGAATTTTGCAGTTTTTCATTTCTTCTTTTTTCGCTTTGGTTCAATTTTTTCAGTTTTCAGATTCTCTTTTTCAGAAAAAGTCGAAAAGTCGAAAAATCGTAGTCAAAATCGAAAAATCCAAAAATCGAACAGTCGGAAAATCAAAAAAACTTTTCATTTCTTCTTTTTTCGGGTTCTCGAGTTTCAATTCTTGGATTTTTCATCTTTTGATTGTTTTAGTTTTTAATCTTCAATTAATTTTTTGATTTTTCGGCTTTTGAATTTTTCAATTCTGCGTTCCTTTTCTTCTATTAATTTTTGGGTTTTCCGTTTTCATTCAGTTTTTCAATTATTCTCTTCTTCGCTTTTTCATTTCCTCAATTTTTCGTTTCTTCAACTGTTCGATTTTTTTTGAATTTTTGAAATTGTTCTTCATTTTCGATGATTCATTTTTTGATTTTTCATCTTTTGCATTTTTCAATTTTTTCTTTCCTTGAATTTTCTATTTTTCTCCGTTTGCATTTTTTATTTCTTGTTTTTTCAATTTTTTAAATTCTCGATTTTCAATTTTTCGTTATTTATCTATTGAATTTTTCAGTTCTTCATTTCTTCTTTTTCCCGCTTTGTCATTTCTTCAATTTTTCCATTTTTCACCCTTTGAATTTTTCGATTCTTCGTTTCAACTGTTTGACTTTTCTTCAACTTTTGAATTTTTCAATTTTTCAAATTCGCAATGATTAATTAAAATCCGGAACCATAAAAAAGTCGAAAAGTCGAGATATCGTAATGCCACAAAACCGAGAAATGGAAAAATCAAGTCCAAAAATCTTAAAACTGATAAATCGAAAGATTCAAAAATCGAATAATGGAAACGTGTAAAAATCGAGAAATCAAAATTGCTAATTTTTCGTTCAATCCATAATTTTTCGATTTTTCGTATTTTGATTTTTTCAACTTTTCATTTCTTCTTTTGTCGATTTTTCAGATCCTCGATTTTCAATTCTTCGGTTTTTCATCCTTTAGATATTTCAATTTTTCATTTTTCAATTAATTTTTGGATTTTTCGTCTATTGAATAATCCAGTTTTTCATTTCTTCTTTTTTTCACTTTTGTCATTTCTTCAATTTTTCGATTTTTCAGATTAACCATTTTCACTCTTCGTATTTTTCAATTTTTCGTTTCAACTATTTGATTTCTCACTTTTTGAATTTTGCGATTTTTCAGGTTCTCAATGATCAATTAAAACAATCCAAAACCATGAAAAAGTCAAAAAGTCGAGTCGAAACATCGAGAAATCGCAAAGTCAAAATCGAGAAACTGAAAAATCAAAAAATCCAAAAATTGATAAATCGAAAGATCCAAAAATCAAAATCGAATAGTGGAAAAGTCGAAATTTTCTCCTCTTCTTCGTTTTTTCCTTTCTTCAACTATTCGATTTCTTCTTTTGAATTTTTCGATTTTTTAAGTTTTGGACGATTAATTCGAAAAATCCAAAATTCGAAAAGTTCGCTTTTTTTGTCTTCAACTCTTTGATTTGTCAGATTCTCTATTTGCAATTTTTCAATTTTCATTTTTTGAATTGTTCGATTTTTCAGAATTAATTTTTTGATCTCCTTTTGCATTTTTCATTTTTTTTCTCGAATTTTTCTATTTTCACCGTTTGAATTCTTCATTTCTCGTTTTTTCGATTTTTTAAATTCTCGATTTTCAATTTTTCGTTATTTATCTAGTGAAATTTTAGTTTTTCATCAGTGTTTTTTAAATTTTAGATTTTTCATCTTATGAATTTCCAGTTTTTCGTTCCATCAATCAATTTTTCGATTTTTCATCTTCTGAATTTTTAGTTTTTTATTTCTTCTTTTCTCGTTTTTTCATTCTCCAATTTTTCAATTTTTCATTTTTAGAATTTTTCAGTTTTTCGTTGTTTCAAATATTTTTCTTGTTTCGAATTTTTAGATTCTCGATTCAAAAAATCCAAGAAAAATCAGATTCGAAAATCAAAAATCGAAAAATTGGGGAATCTGAAACTCGAAAAATTGGGAAAACGGAAAACTGAAATCCTCGATTTTTCGATTTTCTAAAAAAAAAAACGGAAAACTGAAATCCTCGATTTTTCGAAAAATTGATCGAAAAATAATTTTTCGATCAATTTTTCGTCTCAGTTTTCATTTTTTTGTCATTCATGTTTTGAAGTAGTCAATTTTTCGATTTTTCATTTCTTTTTTTCAATGTTTCAATTCAATAGTAATAACAATTTATTAATGCACATCAGACAAGTTAGCATAAGTCACACTTTTCGTTTCTCCAATTTTTCGTTTCTTTTTTTTGTTTCAATTTTTCATTTGTTTAATTTTGAGATTACTCATTTTCTCAATTTTTCATCTAACCTCACAAAACCCTAGGTTCCGGTCTTAGCTTCTACTTCAAAGTGAACAACCTCCCAATATTCGCAAAGGGCGCTAATCTAGTCCCTGCTCACATCCTCCCGGAAAAAATCAACGATCCTACCGTTCTCTCAAAATTACTAGAAAGCTCTCACATTTGCAACATGAACATGCTACGAGTCAGTGGAACTGGGTTCTACCAACCTGACTACTTCTACGAACGGGCAGACGAACTAGGGATATTAATCTGGCAAGACTTCATGTTTGCCTTCTCCACATACCCTACTCATCCGGAGTACCTGGAGTAAGTACCACCCAAAAATTTTGACTCTTTTTACCGTTGTTTGAAGTAACGTGAGGAACGAAGTCCGTCATCAAGTTAAACGTCTACATGGTCACGCTAGTGTGGTCATTTGGGCCGGCAATAGCGAAAATGAGCTAGCCTTTGCCAAAAACTGGTGGGGGACGAAGAAGAATGAAGATAGATACAAGAAAGACTACGTTCGGCTCTTTATTAACACCATACGTTCCGAGTTATTTAAGTTGGCTAAAAATACGTTGTATGTGACAACCAGTCCTACCAACGGTGGCGAGTCTGACTTTTCTCTTGACCCACTAGATCCAGCTTTTGGTACAAGTAAATTTAATTTTAAAATTAATGATGAAAAAAGTGTCTTCATGAGAGTTTCAGTCCACTTCTATAATTACTATGGTTCGAACAGTTTTCAAACTGGGAGCTACCCTCTGTCGCGGTTCCTGCTAGAACTTGGGTATCAGTCCTTTCCCGATATGGACGCTTGGCGAACTGTCACTGACTCCGTAACAGAGTTACATCCTGACAGTTTTTTGGTATATTACAGGCAGCACCAAGTGTTCGGAACGTTACTAATCAAACAACTGCTAAATTATCATTTCGATCTTAAAACCTGGGGTGGAGATTACTTCGAACGATTTATTTTCTGTTCTCAGATTAATCAAGCGGTGTCGATCAAGTGTGCGGTGGAGTACTATCGTACTTACATGAAGAGGGTCAACGCCCAAGGGTTGGGTAACACCATGGGGGTGATCTTCTGGTCACTGAACGACGTATGGGTGGCACCCACATGGTCGTCCATAGGTGAGCCCCATTGATCATTTATTATTATTATTATTATTATTACTATTTGACCAGATTTCACGGGCAAGTGGAAAATGTTGCACTACTACGCTAAAGACTTTTTTGCTTCTACCATAATAACGGGATATGTGGATAACGACAAAGTATACGTATACGTGGTGACTGAAGATGTCCAGTGGTTGAACGAAACTGGGGCGGCAGCCGCCGAGATCTCGGTCTTCCGATGGACTTCATTCGTTCCTGTTTCGTCTACGACGATAAACGTGTCCTTGGTTAGTGCTTCACATTTAGTTAATAATAATAATAATAATAGTAATAATTCACGACAGGCGTACGGAAACCCGGTGTGTGTCCTTGAAGGTGGCCTCGACAAGTCTCTCGGTTGCTCAAGGACGGACTGCTTTTTGTACCTCACGCTTCGAAGAGGACGTGAAGTCGTAGCACCGCACAACTTCATTTTGCCGACTTCTTTGCGGTTTTCGGCCCTCGAGCAAACGCGGGTTGAAATTTTGGAAATTAAGGAGGCTGATGGTGGGGGGAGGAATTTTGAAGTGAGAGTGTGGGCTAGTGGAGTCAGTCTTTTCGTGTGGTTGGATTCGCATAAAGTTCGAGGGAGATTTAGCGAAAATGGGTTTTTGCAAGTGAGTGCTGTGAAAAGTGTTACGTTTCTGGCTGAAGAAGATGTTATTGTTGCAGATTTAGAAACTAATTTGACTGTCACTCATCTTAATTGTAATACATAGTTGGTTAATTGGTTTCGATTTTTCTGAATAAATTTTACGATCTTTGCAGTTTTGTTTTTTTCGATTTTCCGTTTAATTCAATATTTTGATCTTCATTTCTTTTCTTTTATGATTGGGATTCTCGATTTCCATCTGAACTTTTCAATTTTTCCTCTTGAATTTTCCAATATTTCATTTCTTCTTTTTTAAATTTTTCACTTTTCCGGATTGTCGATTTTCATTTTTTGAGTTTTTGGATTTATAGTTTCTTCAATTATTGATTTTTTAGATTTTTCAGACTCTTGTTTCATTTCTTCTTTTTCCGATTCTTTCGTTTTTCATTTCTTATTTCCGGGGTTTCAATCTGCCATTTCTTCTTTTTTTCGAGTTTCCAAGTTTTCGATTGTTTTTTATTTCTCATGTTTTGAGTCTTCCGATTTTCCGTTTCTTCACTTTCTCGTCATTTATATTTTTCAATTTTTCATTTCTCCTTTTTTCGATTTTTTTAAATTTCCAGATTCTCGTTTTCTCATGTGTTTCGAATTTTGAATTTTTTCATTTAATTTTTTTTTGATTTTTCAAATTTTCATTTATTCTTTTTTCCAATTTCTCAATTTTTGATCTACTGAGTTTTCGATCTTTCGTTTCCTCAATTTCTCGTCTTTTGAATATTTCAATGTTTCATTTCTTCTTTTTTGATATTTCAATTTTCCAAATTTTCGATATTTGTAGTTTTTAGATTTTTCAATTTTTCAAATTTTCGCTTCTTCAATTTCTCATTCTTTGAATGTTTCAATTTTTCAATTTTCCAGCTTGTCGATTTTTAATCTTTTGTTTTTAGATTTATCGTTTCTTCAATTTTTTATCCTTCGGATTTTTCAATTTTTCATTTTTTGAATTTAAAATTTTTTGTCTTCTTGAATTTTTCTTCTATTTTTCGAATTTTCAGTTTTTCGATTTTTCATTTCTGCAATTTCTCGTCATTTGAATGTTTTAATTTTGATTTCTCCTTCTTTTGATTTTTAATATTTTGATTTTTCATCTTTTCAGTTTGGAATTTTTCGTTTCTTCAATTTATTATTGTTTCGAATTTTCCTATTTTCGTTTCATTTTCCCAATTTTTCGTTTTTTTAATTTTTCAGTGTTCCATTTTGCCTTTTTCTCGAGTTTCCAGTTTTCGATTTTTAATATTTTGATTTCTCATCTTTTGAAATTTTCGATTTTTCATTTCTTCAATTTCTCGTTCTTTGAAATTTTCATTTCTTCTTTTTTTGATTTTTTATTTCTTCAATTTTTGTTCTTCAATGTGTCGATTTTTCAATTTTTCAGATTCTCGATTTTTCATCTCTTTTGAATTTTTCATTTTTAATTACATATTGTTTAGATTTTGCAAATTTTCATTTCTTCTTTTTTCGGATTTTTCAGTTTTTCATCTTTGAGTTTTTCGATTTTTCTTCATTTTCTTTAATTTTTCGATTTTTCGCTTCCTGAATTTCTGGTCTTTCGAATATTTCATTTCATCTTTTTTGATTTTTTCAATTTTACAAATTTTCGATTTCTAATTTTGAAGTCGTTTGAACTTCTCAATTTTTGATTAAATAATTTTTTGATTTTCCAAATTTTCATTTCTTCTTTTTTCGGCTTTCCATTTTTGAGTTTCTTCCCTTGAATGTTTCAATTTTTCATTTCTTGTTTTTAGATTTTTCGTTTCCTCAATTTGTCGTCTTTTTTAAATGTTTAATTTCTTTTTTTATTATTTTGATTTTTCTCTTTTAAATTTTCCGAATCTCGTTTCGTTTTTCCCAATTTTCAGCTTTTGAAATTTTCAGTGTTTCATTCCCCCTTTTTTGAGTGTCGAGTTTTTTGATTTTTAATCTTTTGAGTGTTTCGATTTTCCATTTCTTCAATTTTTCTTCTAAAATTTTTGGATTTTTCAATTTTTCAGATTCTCGATTTTTCATGTCTTGAATTTTTCATTAAACTTTTTTTGATTTTTTAGATTTTCATTTCTTCTTTTTTCCGATTTTTCAGTTTTTCATCTTTCAATTTCTCTTCCCTTGAATGTTTCAATTTTTCAATTCTTTTGTCAAGTTCCCAGTTTTTCGATTTTTACTATTTTTATTTTCCATCTTTTGAGTGTTTCGATTTTCCGTTTCTTCAATTTTTCATTCTTTGAATATTTCAATTTTTAATTTCTCGTCCTTTAAAATTATCATTTCATCTTTTTCCAATTTTCCATTTCTCCAATTTTTTTCTCGAATTTTTCGTTTTTCAATTTTCCAGATTCTCGATTGTTCATGTCTTTTGAATTTTTCATTTTTTTTGACTTTTCAATTTGTCAACTTCTGAAATTTTCGATTTTTCGTTTTGTTTTTTGTCCTTTGAATTTTTCATTTCTCCTTTTGTCAAGTTTCCAGTTTTCGATTTTTAGTACATATTTTCATTTTCCATTTTTTGTTTCTCGATTTTTCGTTTCTTCAATTTCTTCGAATGTTTTAATTTTTCATTTCTTTTTTGGATGTTTAATATTTTGATTTTTCATTTTTTGAGTTTTCGAATTTTTGGTTTCTTCAATCTATTATTTTTTCGAATTTTCCTATTCTCGTTTCATTTCACCAGTTTCTCGTCGTTTGAATTTTCCAAGTGTTTAATTTTTCCTCTTTCTCTAGTTTCCAGCTTTCGATTTTTAATATTTTCATTTCACATCTTTTGAATTTTTCAATTTTTCATTTCTTCAATTACTCGTCTTTTGAAATTTTCATTTCGTCTGTTTTCCATTCCTCCAATTTTTCGTCTTTTGAAATTTTCAGTGTTTCATTCCCCTTTTTTTGAGTTTCGACTTTTTTATTTTTCATCATTTGACTTTTTCGATTTTTAATTTATTCAATTTCTCGTCCTTTCAATTTTTCATTTCTTTTTATTCAATTTTCCATTTCTTTGATTTTTCGTCTTTTGAATTGTGAATGTTTTATTTCTTCTTTTCCTGATTTCTCCTTTTTTCGATTTTTAACATGTTAATTTTTCATCTTTTGAGTTTTTGAATTTTCCGATTCTCGTTTCGTTTTTCCAATCTTTCCTTTTTCGAAATTTTCAGTGTTTTATTCCCCCTTTTTGGGTTTCGACTTTTTTTATTTTTCAATTGTTCGAATTCTCGTTCTTTTAACTTTTCATTTCTCTTTCTTTTCGATTCTTTTGAAGAATCGGAAAAGAAGAAATTAAACTTCTTTTCCGATCTTCAATTTTTGATTTCTTTTTTCGAATTTCCAGTTTTTCGATTTTTCATTTCTTCAGTTTGTCGTCATTTGAAGATTTTAACTTTCCAATTTTTCAATTCTTTTGTTAAGTTCCCAGTTTTTCGATTTTCCGTTTCTTCAATTTCTCATTCTTTGAATGTTTCAGTTTTTAATTTCTTCTTTTTTCGATTTTTAATATTTTGATTTTTCTTTTTTGAGTTTTTCATTTCCTCAATATTTTCGTTTCTTCAATTTCTCGGAATGTTCCAATTTCCATTTCTTTTTTGGATTTTTAATATTTTGATATTTTTTTGAGTTTTCGAATTTTTCGTTTCTCGTTTCATTTCACCAATTTCTCGTCTTTTGAATTTTCCAAGTGTTTAATTTTTTCTCTTTCTCTAGTTTCCAGCTTTCGATTTTTAATACTTTCATTTTACATCTTTAGAATTTTTCGATTTTTCATTTCTTCAAATTGAAATTTTCTTCTTTTGAAATTTTCATTTCGTCTTTTGTCCATTTTTTGTTTCATTTCTCCAAATTTTCGCATTTTGAATATTTCAATGTTTCGTTTCTTCCTTTTTGATTTTTTAATTTTCCAAATTTTTGATTTCTAATTTTTATTAGTCTTTCGAGGTTCTCGATTTTTAATTAAATATTTTTTCGACTTTCCTAATGTTCATTTCTTCTTTTTTCGAATTTCCATCTTTTGAGTTTCATTTTCTAATCCCTCGAATGTTTCAATTTTTCATTTCTTCTTTTTTCAATTTTTCAATTTTCCATCTTGTTTTTAGATTTTTCGTTTCTTCAATTTTTCGTCGTATTTTTCAATGTTTGATTTTTTCTTTTTTAATTTTCGATTTCTAATCTTTAGATGTTTCAAATTTTCATTTCTATTTTTTTTTTCGATTATCCATTTCCTCATTTTTTCGTCTTTTGAATGTTTCATTTTTTCTTTTCCGATTCTTCAGTTTTTAATTTCTGCTTTTTTCGAATTTCCAGTTTCTCGATTTTTATTTCGTAAATTTCTCGTCATTTGAATTTTTTAACTTTTTGTTTTCGATTTTTAGTATGTCAATTTTTCATCTTTTGAGTTTTGCATTTTCCAATTCTCGTTTCGTTTTTCCAATCTTTCCTCTTTCGAAATTTTCAGTGTTTTATTCCCCCGTTTTTGGGTTTCGACTTTTTTTATTTTTCAATTGTTCGATTTCTCGTCCTTTTACTTTTCATTTTTTTTTCGATTCTTTTGAATGTTAATTTCTTTTTTTTTTATATCTTTTTTCGAATTTCCAGTTTTTCGATTTTTCATTTCTTCAATTTGTCGTCATTTGAAGTTTTTTTAACTTCGATTTTTAAATTGTTAATTTTTCTGCTTATGAGTTTTTAAATTTTTCGATTCTCGTTTCGTTTTTCTAATTTTTCCTTTTTCGAAATTTTCAGTGTTTCATTCCCCCTTCCAATTTTTGGAATTTTCAATTTTCCAGATTCTCGATTTTTCAACTTTTGAGTTTTTCGTTTCCTCAATTTCTCGTCCTTTGAATGTTTTAATTTTTCATTTTTTCAATTTTTTAATATTCTATTTCTTCTTATTTCGATCTTTTAATTTTTCTTTTTTTCGAAAAACCGAAAAATGGTACCATTATGTGCAAATATCGAAAGTTTACAAACTTAAAAAGTGAAAAATCGAAAAAAGTAAAAATCTAAAACTTTATATAATCCGCCACTTCCACGTAGCCGATTCTCATTGGTCGTGACGTGCTTGGCGGCATTTTCAAACCGCTTGAAACCAAAAACCCCACAATAAATAAAAATATCTTTATTTACAACAGAAACAGAAAAAAATTAAAAATTTACAATGCTATTTACACAATTTAAACTCTATTCTCCGTGTACTTTATTAAGAAAATCGTCCACGTCAATATTTTTGAGAAGATTTTCGAACGTTTTGTTCCTCTTATCCTTATTCCTGTCGTCGTCATCGAACTTCGACTTCCGTTTCTTCCCCCTAAAACATCAGCATCATCATCCCTTGCTCACACCAAATAGTGTCCACCTTACCCTTTCGCTTCGCTCATATCTGGAGATTCTTCCCTAACACTACCAACTATGCAGTAGTCCATCAGTTCGTCCATTTCCGCTGAAGTGTCCTTAACTGGAGACGGCACCCTTGTGGAATCAAAAACGCACTCGATGTCGCCCCATTTCATAGTCCTCGTCATTTCCGTATTCAACTCTTCTATGAACACATTCGCAGACATGCTCTTCGTTGAAAGCGTAAAATCGTAGCTTTTAAAGCTCCTCTCTTTCCATTTACTATTATGTTCCACGATTTCCTCATCCTCGTAAGTTCTCGTGTCAAAAGTCTCCTCACTTTCGTTCTCCTGTGTCTCGCTTTCCTTCACCTCCGTCTTCTTCGGCGTCTTGTTATGCACCAAATGAATCCCTCCTTCCGCCAAATTCGTCACCAACTTCTGCGCTTCCTCGTCCGTACTCACCACCTTCTTCTTCGCTTTCCTCTTCGTCGCTTTCGGCGTTTTCGGAGTCTTCTCAGTCTTCTTTCGCCCTCTCGCCGCCTTCTTCGGCTCTTCCGGGTTCTTGATTTTCTGTATCGTCCTCTGCCTCTTTTCTTCCAACTGAGAGAGAATATTCTTCTTGCGCGTTTGCTCGTCCAGAATACTCTTAACCTCCACATTACTAATAATATCTTTAATCGCCGTCGTGTGGTTTTTCTTACAAATCACCGTCTTGTTCGTGCTTTCAGCCGTCGTCTCCAAATCCGACTCGGACTCGCTCGAACTCGACGACAACGTCCGCTTAATCAAACTCAAATTCTTCTTTCCAATCCCGTTGTTCTTGCTTTTTTCTATGACCACGTTACTTAGAATGCTTATGTTGGGTTTGGTGGGGGAGAGGGTGAGTTTATATCAACACCTTGCAGCTGCTCCTCCAGGACTGCCGTAAACGAGGTGCAGTGGAGGTTAGACGTGTCCGCGGCAGCATCCGGAGCACCCGGAGTCTTAGGAACGGCGTCTTTAACCGGAGGTAGTAAAGACAGGTTTTCGGGATCATCGACTTTTTCGATTTTCCGTTTAATCCAATATTTTGATCTTCATTTCTTTTCTTTTATGTTTGGGATTCTCGATTTCCATCTTCTGAACTTTTCAATTTTTCATCTTGAATTTTTCAATATTTCATTTCTTCTTTTTTCAATTGTTCACTTTTCCGGGTTGTCGATTTTCATTTTTTGAGTTTTTGAATTTATCGTTTCTTCAATTTTTGATTTTTTAGATTTTTCGGATTCTCGTTTCATTTCTTCTTTTTCCGATTTTTTCGTTTTTCATTTCTTATTTCCGGGGTTTCAATCTGCCATTTCTTCTTTTTTTCGAGTTTCCAATTTTTCGATTGTTTTTTATTTTTCATGTTTTGAGTCTTCCGATTTTCCGTTTCTTCACTTTCTCGTCATTTATATTTTTCAATTTTTCACTTTTCCTTTTTTCGGTTTTTTTAAATTTCCAGATTCTTGTTTTTTGATGTGTTTTGAATTTTGAATTTTTTCATTTAATTTTTTTTTTGATTTTTCAAATTTTCATTTATTCTTTTTTCCGATTTCTCAATTTTTCATTTATTGAGTTTTCGATTTTTCGTTTCCTCAATTTCTCGTCTTTTGAATATTTCAATGTTTCATTTCTTCTTTTTTAATATTTCAATTTTTCAAATTTTCGAGATTTGTAGTTTTTAGATTTTTCGTCTTGATTAAATATTTTTTCAATTTTTCAAATTTTCGTTTCGCAATTTCTCATTCTTTGAATGTTTCAATTTTCCAGCTTGTCGATTTTTAATCTTTTGTTTTTAGATTTATCGTTTCTTCAATTTTTTATCCTTCGGATTTTTCAATTTTTCATGTTTTGAAGTTAAATTTTTTTGTCTTCTCGAAAAATTTCCAGTTTTTCGATTTTTCGTTTCTTCAATTTCACGTCATTTGAATGTTTTAATTTTGATTTTTAATATATTGATTATTCATCTTTTCAGTTTGGAATTTTTCGTTTCTTCAATTTATTGTTTCGAACTTTCCTATTCTCGTTTCATTTTCCCAATTTTTCGTCTTTTTAATTTTTCAGTGTTTCATTTTGTCTTTTTCTCGAGTTTCCAGTTTTCGATTTTTAATATTTTGATTTCTCATCTTTACAATATTTCGATTTTTCATTTCTTCAATTTCTCGTCATTTGAAATTTTCATTTCTTCTTTTTTCGATTTTCCATTTCTTCAACTTTTCTTCTTGAATTTGTCGATTTTTCAATTTTTTCAGATTCTCGATTTTTCATCTCTTTTGAATTTTTCATTTTTAATCACATATTTTTTCGATTTTGCAAAATTTAATTTCTTCTTTTTTCGGATTTTTCAGTTTTTCATCTTTTGAGTTTTTCAATTTTTCGTTATTTTCTTTAATTTTTCGATTTTTCGCTTCCTCAATTTCCCGTCTTTTGAATATTTCAATGTTTCATTTCTTCTTTTTTGATTTTTCAATTTTATAAATTGTCGATTTCTAATTTTGAAGTCTTTTGAATGTCCCAATTTTTAATTAAATATTTTTTTGATTTTCCAAATTTTCATTTCTCATTTTTCGACTCCATTTTTGAATTTCTTCCCTTGAATGTTTCAATTTTTCATTTCTTGATTTTAGATTTTTCGTTTCCTCAATTTGTCGTCTTTTTTTCAATGTTTAATTTCTTTTTTTATTATTTTGATTTTTCTCTTTTAAATTTTCCGACTTTCGTTTCGTTTTTCCAAATTTTCAGCTTTTGAAATTTTCAGTGTTTCATTCCCCCTTTTTTGAGTGTCGAGTTTTTTGATTTATATAATTAAATCTAAAACTTTATATAATCCGCCATTTCCACGTAGCCGATCCTCATTGGTCGTGAAGTGCTTGGCGGCATTTTCAAACCGCTTGAAACTAAAAACCCCACAATAAATAAAAATATCTTTATTTACAACAGAAACAGAAAAAAATTAAAAATTTACAATGCTATTTACACAATTTAAACTCTATTCTCCGTGTACTTTATTAAGAAAATCGTCCACGTCAATATTTTTGAGAAGATTTTCGAACGTTTTGTTCCTCTTATCCTTATTCCTGTCGTCGTCATCGAACTTCGACTTCCGTTTCTTCCCCCTAAAACATCATCATCACCCCTTGCTCACACCAAATAGTGTCCACCTTACCCTTTCGCTTCGCTCATATCTGGAGATTCTTCCCTAACACTACCAACTATGCAGTAGTCCATCAGTTCGTCCATTTCCGCTGAAGTGTCCTTAACTGGAGACGGCACTCTCGTGGAATCAAAAACGCACTCGATATCGCCCCATTTCATAGTCCTCGTCATTTCCGTATTCAACTCTTCTATGAACACATTCGCAGACATGCTCTTCGTTGAAAGCGTGAAATCGTAGCTTTTAAAGCTCCTCTTTTTCCATTTACTATTATGTTCCACGATTTCCTCATCCTCGTAAGTTCTCGTGTCAAAAGTCTCCTCACTTTCGTTCTCCTGTGTCTCGCTTTCCTTCACCTCCGTCTTCTTCGGCGTCTTGTTATGCACCAAATGAATCCCTCTTTCCGCCAAATTCGTCACCAACTTCTGCGCTTCCTCATCCGTGTTCTCCTCCGTACTCACCACCTTCTTCTTCGCTTTCCTCTTCGTCGCTTTCGGCGTTTTCGGAGTCTTCTCAGTCTTCTTTCGCCCTCTCGCCGCCTTCTTCGGCTCTTCCGGGTTCTTGATTTTCTGTATCGTCCTCTGCCTCTTTTCTTCCAATTGAGAGAGAAGATTTTTCTTGCGCGTTTCCTCGTCCAGAGTACTCTTAACCTCCACATTGCTAATAATATCTTTAATCGCCGTCGTGTGGTTTTTCTTACAAATCACCGTCTTGTTCGTGCTTTCAGCCGTCGTCTCCAAATCCGACTCGGACTCGCTCGAACTCGACGACAACGTCCGCTTAATCAAACTCAAATTCTTCTTTCCGATCCCGTTGTTTTTGCTTTTTTCTATGACCACGTTACTGAGAATGCTTATGTTGGGTTTGGTGGGGGAGAGGGTGTCGAGTTGTTTGCTTTCCTCGATGAGGTCGGTCATCGTTTTTTGCTCAGAGTCGGAGGGTTGGTAGTAGGAACTGGAGGTGGAGTAGTCGGTCAATCTCTGGTTGGGTCCTAACACCTCCCCCGGAGTCAGGGTGAAGCCAGGAGTGATCGGGATATTAGGGGTGGGGAGCGAGTTTATATCAACACCTTGCAGCTGCTCCTCGAGGACTGCCGTAAACGGGGTGCAGTGGAGGTTAGACGTGTCCGCGGCAGCATCCGGAGCACCCGGAGTCTTAGGAACGGCGTCTTTAACCGGAGTTAGTAAAGACAGGTTTTCGGGATCATCGACTTTTTCGTCCAGAGGGGGTTTGTCGTCCGGCTTTTTCGGCTTCTTTTTGGCGGTTGTGGGGCGCTTTTTTTTCAAGGGGCTCTTATCCTTACAACCACCTGTTACATCGTAATTTTGCATTCATATAGTACACACAAATTGATTATAAATTGATACTTTGTAGTTGGTTCCAGTTCAACATTTGTGTGAACTTTCCAACTACAAGCTACCAAACTGAGAAAACTGTACACAGTACATTACACACCAACCAACATCCGCAGATCCTCGTCCCACGACTGCTTCTTCTTCGGCTTCGCCCCCTCGTTCCTGGAACTCGGTGTGGAAAAGTCGAGATTCCGCACGTGCGACGCCTGCCTGGTAACCACGACGTTATCGCGCGGGGACGGCACCAGTAACCCTTCCGTCACCTTACTCTTCGCCGCCCCATCTTCCCCCTTCGTTTTGCTTTTCGTGCGCTTCGCGCACGACGGATTCTCGTCGCTCACGATCACCGTAGGCATCGACATGAGTTCTTTCTCAGTGACCACCGTCGGCACGTTCATTTTTATCAACGGTTGATTATTAACGATGTAGAACTGTTTGGTGGGGTCCGGGGGCGGCACCACGATCAGCCCCCCGGGGTTGAAAAACACAGGATTGGAGTTGATCGTGTTGGTCACCCCCGACGTTTTCAAGTACGTGTCGAGGTTCCCGTCGAACACGTACACCTCGCCGTTGGGCTGAGATTCGGTTTTGGAAGGGGCGGCGCTTTCGGGCTGAGGCGGCGCGGGAGGCGGGTCTGTGTTTTGGGCCGCCTCGATTATGGAGCGAATGGCGTCGTTGTTGTGGTCGTCCATTGGGTCGCTCGGAGGGGTGGGGGCGGGAGGGTCGTCCACGGTGAGGCTCGTGGTGGGGGTGCTAATCATGCTCACACAAATCACTGACTTTTTCAAATTCAATTAACAATAATCATTTTAATTAAATAAAACTAAAAATTGAAATTTATTAACGTTAAACAAATTAAGTTGGCAACGCGTCCTGGTTTCAGTAATCAGTTGACAAGTAAATGTCAAAAGTAGCGTCAAATTACGGTAATCATGGCTTGCTAGACCAACCAAGGTGAAAAAAAAAAAATTACCTGCATGGTACAGACTTCTTTTGATTCTCGCAATTCGTTGGACCTGCAAAACTGGTCTCTATCACACTTACTCACACTAAAAGGGCTCCACTTACAAAAATTCTGGCCGATAATTTCGTCGATCAGTTTGTTGTAAAGGGGGTCCTCCTCCGTCCTCTGTATCACGGTTTTAATAACGGCATCTAGCTCCTTGGAGGCGCCTGCGCTGATGTGCTCGTCCGTTACGGGTTTGGCGACTTCGGGGGTGTTCATCACGGTGTTAATAGTTTCGGCGATTTTTTCATGCAACTCGTGCTTTTCCAATAACGATTGCGTCAGCACTTCCAACTCCACCACGTCTTCTTTTTCTTTGCACTTGTTTTTGGGGTTGCGTTTTTTTGGGGTCTTTGGTAGTGAGCCGTCACTGTCGATTGAACTATTCCCGGGTAGTTCGTGCGCTGGGGTGGCTTCCAGTTCGCAGGGGGCACTCATGACCGGTGTTGACGTAGCCAAGTTGGGTTGCTCCTGATCTAGTAAAAATAAAAGCTGCTGGACTAGAGTGGGTCTATCGTAGCGCTCGTAGCAGTCGGTTTCTTCAATCCGGGCTTGCACTAAAACCGATATTTTAATTACGGGAAAGCCACTTTGGGGGCATACCGATGGCGTAGATCTCGCTGTACTCCTCGAGATAGTCGACCAGAGTCAAGCCCCCGACTCGCGTCACGAAGTATTTCCCCATTTTGATTTTTTCGTCGCTTTCGTGGAGGTACGAGCAGGAGTTGAGGAAGGCGTCGACGGCGTCAGAGAGTTTTTCGCGACGCAAATAACCTGGGGGGAAAAGTTCTAGTAGGTAAACAATTATCCCGCCAAGCGCGGCTTACCTAAAACTAAAGCGGCGATTTGGGCCTTGCTGAACTTCATTGTTGTAGAGTGTGCACTTTATGCTTAACAACGAGAGGTAAAATATAAAAAGTAATAAACTAATGTTGTTGATAAAGTTGTTTTAAACAAAATAAAAACGTAACCTAACATTCTCGGTTGTTGGCCATTTTGGATGCTTGGCAGGGGTGCCAAACCAAACTTTATTAAAATGTCAAATGCAGTTTTAAATAAATATAATCAATTTTAATTTTTAGATTTTATTGATACAATATATTTCTGTAAATAACAAATATAAGCTCCTACTAAAATTTGGTGAACCATTGATTGATGAATCTTTTTTCGACTGAATAAATATCCCCCAATCTGGCAACACTGATGCTTACGTCAAAAGAAATTCCCGCTGAAAATGGAAACCGTTTTTGGGTGGCAATTAACAATTTTGGCTAGCACAAATATGGATAATTGTGAATTTTGTTGCATTTGTCCTGTGGGGTTTGCATTCGTCAGACGGCTTCCAATATTTCCTGTGAATTTGTTGTTCCTTCGTGCTTAAAGTGATAAGTTTTTTCTCACTTTTTGTTCTTGCTAATGTAAAAACCTCATTGTAAAAAACTAGCTACACGTTAAAGTCACGTGTTCTCTTGCACAGAGTGCGCCCACAAAATATTATAGTTTATTTTTTGTTAAAAAAAGAATTTTATTTTAATTTTTCTGAGTAGTTTTAAGCAAAGAAACTTATCTTGGAATTTACGTGTTTTTTTTTTGTTTATATGCAGATAATATTTTTATGTTGTTAGTTACAATTTATTTATGTTTAGTTTTCGTTATGAAGAAATTTGATTTTTATTTTATTGTTGCTCAATGGTTTGGGGCGACATAATTTTTGGTAAGAGATAACTCTACAGTCTACATCTCCTCGATGGTTCTTGCTGGGCAGTAAATTACATTATTATTTGCTTTCTATTCTTTAGACCGTAATAATATTTTTTATTGGCAAAGTAGAGTTAATTCAATATGAGTAAATACGACTTTAGTTAGATTCATGGATTTTTAAATGCATGCTGAACGGACGTTTTGCGTTTTTTCTACCTTTTGAAGCAGTTGCATTGTATTTTAAATCCGATTTTTTTTTCAATTAGCCTCCCCTAAACAAAATGTCACGAACCGCCACTGCAAGAAATCCTATATTTATCTCTAATTTCAAAAATTCAAAAAAATTAGAAAAGAAAAAAAATCCAATAAATCGAAAAATTGAATACATCAAAAGAAATTAAAAAAAAAAACCCAAAACAATCTCAAAAATACAAAAAACTAAAGAAATCCAAAAAATCCGATAAATTCGAAAACACAAAAAAATCCAAACATTGCAAAACGCATAATATTCCAAAAAATTCCCAGAAAAAACAAACAATCCAAGAAATGCAAGAAATATAAGAAATTCAAGATATCCAATAATCCAAAAAATCAAAAATTTCCAAAAAATTAAAAAAAATAAAAAATTCAAGAATTTAAAAAAACAATTAATCTAAAAATGCAAGATACTCAAAAAACTTTGAAAAACAAAAAATCCAATACATAATTTCCAAAATCCATTAAAAGTAGGACATAATAAAATAAAATAATCTAAAAAATCGAAAAATTTAATACATCCAAAAAATAAAAACAAAACAAAACATCCGAAAAAATGTAAAAATCCAATCAATCTAACAAAACAAGAAACTCAAGAAATTTAAAAAAACTCCAGAAATCCAATACATAATTTTAAAAATCCAAAAAAATAGTAAATAAAAGAAATTAAATGTATCTAAAACTCGAAAAAGATAGAAAAAATTCGAAAAGTGAATATGTGCATCGAAAAAATCCAAAAAAATAGAAAACCCCAAAATATCTAAAAAAATCAAAAACCTAAGACACCTGAAAAATCCTAAAAATCCGAAAAATTAAATTATCTAATAAATCGAAAAATTGAATACATCAATAAACTTAAAAAAAAAAACAAAACCCCTCCCAAAAAATCTCAAAATTTCACAAAACCAAAGAAATCCGAAAAATCCAAAAAATCCGAAAAATCGGGAAATCCAAAAAAATCCAAAAAACATCCAAATATCCCAAAAAGCATAAGATTTCAAAAAAATTCAAAAGAAACCAAACCATCTAAGAAATCCAAGAAATCCAAGAAATTCAAGATATCCAATAATCCAAAAAATCGAAAATTCTGTATGAAAAAGTTGAACTTAGCCCCGCCCACCCACCCGTTTTCTCATTTTTTTTCTTCAGAAATAAGAAATAAATGTTACACCAGTTCAATAGTAAAAAATTACGGTTAACGCTTTTTGTAACAGTCTACGCTCTATTCTCACTTTACAAAAGAACTCCAATAATCCAAAAATCGAAAATATGGTAAAAATAAAGAAAAACCCAAAAGTCGGAAAATAAAAAACAAAAAAATTAAACTTGTCAAAGAATCGAATAAATTCAAAATAATCCAAAAAAAAGACCCGTTTTGATTCCGGTCTGGTAGCAGCAACACTGGAGCTCATTTTGGGTTAAAAGTAGCACGTGTTCACGAATTTCTAATTTATTGTTAATAAATATTAGCAAAAATGCTTTGTGTTAAGTGCTGTGAACACGAAGGAAAGTGGAAATTTGTCCGAAAATGGCCGAGTTTTTTTGAAATTTGTTGTTAATAACATGAAGTCAGCACTGATAAAGTGCGGCTTTAGAATATACAAAGTACTGCGTTTATAATTTACAAAATACTGTATGCATCATTTTTAAAGTACGGCGTCCAAATTTACAAAATACGGTGTCTTTCACTGTACTGTATATTGTATGGGTTTTACAATTACAATTTAACTTCAGTAGTGCAAATGCTTTGTTTTCACGGTGCACTTGCTTGGGTATTAATTTTGCAACAGTGCATTCTTTGGTTCCCAGTCTGAATTCTCCATGTCGTCAGACGCTCTGGCCTGGGGGGGGGGGGGGGTTCTGTTGGCCCTTAGACGCTGGGTCGCATCATCCTATAAGGATGAGGTCAGTTGGCCTTGGATTTATGCGGCTGCGTTCTCCCTTGGGCGTGTGAGCGCTGCGACCAATAGATTTCGTTCCGAGTTCCATCGGTGTGCTTGCTTGGGTTTTCATTTTGCAACATTCTCAATTTTTGGTGCAATTTCTTCCGGTGGTGTATTGGGTACTAACTTTGCATTTGTATTGTATCTGAATTTTATCTGTATCTGTAGTGTATTCTGTATTGTAGTTAGATTGTAGGTACCTGTATTGTATTTCTGTTGTATTGTACTGTATAACGTTCTATCCCTCATTAACAAATCCTAGTCCTCTCCTTTCCTAGCGAGATCTGCTCCAGACCTTCCCGTGGTTCTTGCTGAGCATCAACTATCGAGGACAGAAAATTCAAATTCAAAACCAGCAAAGTTTCACAAAAATCATGAAAATCGCTCGTTGGTGGCCAACGTGGAGCAAAATAGACTTTTGTAACTCAACTAACTTTGTTAACTTTATATTCTTAAAGAAACAAAAATATATTACATTTAATTTATTATTTATAAGGACAAATAGTCATTTGCCACGCCGGTGCTCATTTTTAGACTAAATGCTCACAAAACGCGTAGATGTTCAATTTGTGTCCGGGGAGATACAATGTTTGCAAGTAGGTTCACAGTACATAGAGTAGATGCTCAGGTATATAACAGTAATAATGAAGTAGGTACTTCGTACTTCGAATATGAGTATCTACTCAGTTTTATTTATATCACCCAATGTCTCGCTTCAATGTTTGATTATGTTGATTATGAGCACAACGCTGATCAACTTCCATATTCGAATTACCCATGAAATAAATCATTGCGCGTTGACTTCGAGGACCTATATCAGCTTGTCGTCTTCTTGGCATTGTAATGAACTTCATAAAATGATACAGATTTATTTTCACAGTCAATCAAATCTGTAAATTTTGTCTTGAGAATTTTAAAATATTGAAAACTTCAAATTAAATCCTCGAATAACGGTAAAGGTTGAGGTTTTGTCGAAACCAACAAAGTGAATATAGGTAAATAGAATGGCAGATCAAAATTAATAAGAAACTTTCGCAATGTGTAACTAAATTCACTTTAACCAAGACTTTTCTTAAAATAAACGACGTTTTTTTTACGAAAAAACAAAGAACGATTTGAAATGCAATATACTTTTCACAATCGCACGGAAGAAATAGTTTTGTATGACACGTCAATTAGACGACAGTCCGTCAGGAACGCCAACTATTGAAATTCGTTCGAAGTGGCGATTCCCATACAAAATTTTTAGAATTTTTTGATTTTTTAGCTGTCTTATTTTTTGTATTTTTTTTAAATACAAACCTTGTCCTGACAATAAGGAACACATAAAAAAAAAGAATCATCCAATTTGGTGCAGCCGTTCTGAAGTTATGCGCGTACATACATTTCGGCGATTCATCATATAGAAGATAGAAGATAGAAGATTAGTGGTGACTTTCAATACTTCGGTTGATATATTGACACCATAAAATCAAATATTAACAAACAAGTTCAACACTGTCACTACTGACCCCAAATTACACTGGACAAAATTTTTGAAGTCCGTTTAGTCAGCAAAAAGGGGGTAGGTATATGAAATAAGTCCACAATATGTGCATTAGTTCCACGACTTTATCATATAGTGCGTTCTGTTTAATTCATTGTACATAAAGTTATATAGGAATGGAAACCGCTACATTCATACCTACAGAAGACAGTACAAAACATTCGTTCAAAGTCAACCCAAACCCACTCGAAAAAGTGTCAAAACTAAACATCTGTTTACATATATACATAGCCACAGTGCTGCTACCCTATAGGACCCCATACAGTTACACATACACCAGTCCAAACCTAAACGACAAACACCGACTTAAGACGTTCTTCTAGTTCTCAGACAACACAACGCCCTATGCAGACTAAACCCCTTCTCCTTGCACTTCTCCTCCATCACTTTGACAATCTCCGCCTTCATTTCGTCCCCCTCACTTTCACTTTTCACCGCCACAATCTTATCATAATCGATCGGGTTCCGCACACTCGACGTCTTCCTCAACACCACTTCACTCTCCTTCGCCGCCGCCTTCACCTCGCTGTCCTTGTTGATCTCCACCACGACCTCGGCTTGATCTCACGTCCCTTCTTTCACCGGCTCCGCACTTTCACTTTTCTTCAAGTCGAGCGGTGGCGGCTTGCAGATGCGGGGCAGGGTCTCGGCGTGCTCGAAGTCGGTGCAGGTGTGCATGAGGGTGAAGGGCAGCTTCAAGGACACTTTGCCGCCCATCACGCTCACGAGGAGCTTGATCTTGACGTAGTAGGAGACGTAGATGGCGAAGACGTTGCGCTCCTCGGGGCTGTCGGTCACGGGGGTGACGGTTGAGGCCAGGCTGGTGCCCTGTTTGGTGTAGGAGTCCTCGAGGGCGATCCAGTTCTTGGTGGAGCTCTTGATGGGGAGGAGGGTGAAGGTGTGCTCGTAGATGGTGTTGGAGGTGACCGGGCAGTTGTCCTTGGAGTTGATCATGGCGACGACGTTTTTGAATTTGCCGTTGGAGAACATGCAGACGTCCACGTGCTGGACGACGAAGACCTACAAGAGGAAGAAGTTGAGGTTATGTAAGTGTTGTGGTGTCCCATTTTGAATTCAAATTTCGCGCTTGAAAAAAAAATGTTGAACAGTATAGGCAACCACGTGTACAAACTGTCAGTTAGGTCTGGTTAGGTTCAACTCTGAATTTTATTTTATTGCAAACAACTGTCAAATTTTAAAACGAAAACATCACAATTTATATCAAACTTTTATTATTTTAAAAGTCAGAGCTTCGAATTTGACAGTTGTATCATCAATGAATATTTTCAATATAATTTTGAGTAATTTCTTGTTTATCATGTAGCTAGCTCATAATCTACATAAGTATTGTATTGCATGGTTTTTATGTTTATTTTTACTATTACATTCTTGTAAACTTTGGACGAGTGTATAAACTTTATGTTTTTAGCACAATAAAATTACTTACTTACTTACTTACTTACTTACTTACTTACTTACTTACTTACTTACTTACTTACTTACTTACTTACTTACTAACGTCTAAAAGTCGATCTTCAAAATTTCAAATGTCAAAAATTTAAAATCAAGTTGAAAATTGATATTTGAGATCTAAAAAGCTAAAATTTTCAAACTAATTTCCAAAATTTACTGCTTGAAAAGTCAAAGCTTTGCAACTGAATGGAACAATTCTTAAATCGTAAAATTAAGAAAGTTATTTTTTTTTAAATTATTATTATTACATATTTAAAAAACGAAAATAGAAAAATTGAAGAAACGAAAATTCGAAAAATCCAGAAACTAAAAAATCTAAAATTTAAAAAACCAAAAATTAAAAACAGAAAAATTACAAATCAAAAAATTGGAAAATCTGAAAATTGAAAAAATTCGCATTGATAAAAGAAAAATGATCAAATCAGAACATTGAAACAACGAAAAATTTTAAAAATAAAGAAAATGAAAAACCGAAATGAAAAATTGCAAATTAAAAATTGAAGAAACGAAAATTCGAAAAATTCACTGAAAAGTCTAAAATTAAAAAACGAAAGACTGAAAACCGAAAAATTGCAATTCGAATATGTAATGAAAACCTGAAAAATCGAAAAATCAAAAAATTGAAAAATCAAGAAAGCATCGAGGAATTGAGAAATGAGAAAATAAAAAAATCGGAAAACCGGAAATTCGAAAAAGAAAACACTGAAACCTCGAGGAACGAAACTGAAAACTTGAAAAAGCGAAAACGTGAAAAATTGAAAAATCGAATAAACTGAAAAATGTAAGATTAAAAAATTCTAAAAACTGAAAAACACAAAAACGAAGAATTGAAAAATTGGGGAATCAAAAAACCTAAACTTTAAAATATCGAAAAACTGAAGAGTAGAAAATTTGGAAAATCGATAAATCGAAAGACAAAAACAAGAAAAAAGGAAAAATTAAAAATAAAAAAAAAACGAGAAAAGAAAAATCGAAAGTCGACAAAATTAGAGTCGAGAAATTCAAAAATTAAAAATTGAAAGTTCGAGAAAGTTTAAACGGAAAACCTGAAAAACCAAAAAAAAACAACTGAAAATTCGCAAATCGAAAAACTGAAGATAAAAAAATTGAAAAAACTGAAATTGAACAAATCGAGAAATCGAAAAATCGATATATTGAAGAAAAATAGAGAAATTGAAAAATCCTAAAACTCAAATGTCGAAAATGCAAGATTCAAAAATCTAAAAATCGAAAAATCTAAGAATAGAAAAATTGAAAAATCGAAAGGTTGAGGAAATCGAATCCATAATTTGAAACAGGGATGTTGCGAATATTCGCATCCGCATCCGCAAATGCGGAGCTTCCGCATTGATTTGGACATCCGCATCCGCATCCGCATCCGCAATAATCAATGCGGAACTCATGCGGATGCGGATGTAAATGTGGCGCAAGTCGCGACAAGAAAGAAATTAGTTGGAGCCGACGAGTGACGCATAGCGTGCACTCGTGATGCATTGACCAATAGGAAGACAAGAATTCTACTTTCGGTGTTCCGTTTCGCACATCAGAACGTGTTTAGTCGGGGTTGCGCGAATTGTGAACGTTTTGTTTTTGTGTTATTGGTAGAGAGCGGATTTCTGTCGGGCTACGTCACGATTATTAGGTGGGGACGCGTGAATCGCTGTGAATCAGTAGCGGGTAATAATCAGTGCATTTAATTTTCACTTATTCCATAAATACAATTCACGAAACCTTAATTCGTAAAACAGCTAGGTAAATGAGAACGGGAATTAACAGCAAAGTACAACGAAGCACCGTTATTTTATTCGAAAATAGACGAAGTGCAGCTAGTAACTGCACTGAATTCCCATCCCGCACGAGCCGTACCGAGTTTGGCCTTGCCAAGCCCGACAGAAATCCGCTGTCTAGTTATTGGACAAGTGAATCTACAATGGCACCAACGATGCAAAGTGAGATTTGGACTTATTTTAAACCAGATGATGATCGAAATAAAACTCAGTGTATAATATGTAATAAAACATATTCTCGCAAGGGTCGTACCACTTCGTCTTTGAAAAATCATCTGATTAATCGTACCGAATTAAAAATTTTATCTGGAATAGCACGCAGATTTTTATAGCCTCCACCAGCTAGTGTTCCCAGTGAACAGTTATTTAGTAGTGCAGGATTAATTTATGAACCTCTGAGAAATAGACTCGAATCTGAAAAGGCCGCAATATTACTTTTTATTAAATATAATTCAACAATTTTTAAATTTTCGTACTAAAAATTTGTTTATTAAATAAAAATATTAAAAACCCCCATTTTTTTAACTGATTTCTGTACATATACTAAGTTTCTTAAAAAAAAAACTTGAGATCCGCATCCGCATTCGCATCCGCGGATGTGAGCTCCCAAAAATCCGCATCCGCATCCGCATCCGCGGATGTTGAAAAATCTGCATCCGCAACATCCCTGATTTGAAACACCAAAAAGTCGAGAAATAAAAAAATTTAAAAGCGAAAAATCAAAAAGTTAAAAATTAAGAAAATTGAAAAATTGAGAAATCCAGTAATTGAAAAATTGAAATTCGAAAATTGAAAAATTCGAAAACTTGAAAAATAAAAATATCCAAGTATTGAAAAATCGAGAAACTGAAAAATTTGAATTTTAAGAAACCGAAAAATTGAAAAATTGCAAATCGAAAAACTGAAGCAACGAAAAAAAAAATTGGAATTAACAAAAAATTCCAAAAATTCGAGAAATTGTAAATCGAAAAATCGCAAATCGAAAAACTGAAGATACGAAAAAATCCATAATTTGGAACATCAAAAATTCGAAAAATTAATAAATTAAATGCGAAAAATCATAAACTTTAAAAATCGAGAAATCGAAATCGAAAATTTAAAAATTCGAAATGTCGAAAATCGAACAATCGAAATTTAAAAAGTTAAAAAATTGAAAAATCGAAAAATTGAAAAATCAATAACTTGAAACACCAAAAAGTCAAAAAATTAAAAAATTTAAAAGTGAAAATCAAAAAGTTAAAAAAATTGGAAAATTGGATAATGTCGAAAAATCGAAATTAAAAAAAAAAAATAAAAAATTGAAAAACCAAACCTGAAAAATTGAAAAATTGAAAAATCGAAGAACTGAATAATTGAAAAACTGAAAAATTGAAAATACGAGAAGTCGAAACATCGAAAAATAGAGAAATCGATTAAGCGAGAAATCGAAAATTCCCAAAAGTGGACAAAATGGAAACTTAAAAACGCCAAAAATTCAATTTGAAACAAGAAAAGATTTAAAAATCGAAATATTGAAGAATCCAAAAATTTAAAAATGAAATCAAATGTTTCAATGAACAAAAAAATGAAGAATTAACAAATCGAAATTCGAAACGTAAAAAAATCGAAAGATCGAACCATCAAAAATTTAAAAAATAAAAAAATTGAAGAATCAAAACCTGAAAAATCGAAAAATCAAAAAATTTAAAAATCGAGTAATCATCGAGGAATTGAGAAATGAGAAAATAAAAAAATCGGAAAACCCGAAATTCTATAAAGAAAACATTGAAACCTCGAGAAACGAAACTGAAAAATTGAAAAATCGAATAAACTGAAAAATCTAAGATTAAAAAATTCGAAAAACTGAAAAACACAAAAATCGAAGAATTGAAAAATTAGGAAGTCAAAAAACCTAAACTTTAAAATATCGAAAAACTCAAGAGTAGAAAATTTGAAAAATCGATAAATTGAAAGACAAAAACAAGAAAAAAGGAAAAATTAAAAATCAAAAAAATCGAGAAAAGAAAGTCGACAATTTAAAAATTCGAAAAGTTGAAAATTAGAAAAATTGAAGAACTGAAAAATCTGAATTTTTAAAATTGAAGACACTGAAGAAACGAAGAAGAAAACTGAAATTGAAAAAACAAAAAATTATACCCGCACGAAAATTCGAACTAGTGAAAAATTAGAGTCGAAAAATTAAAAAATTAAAAATTGAAAGTTCGAGAAAGTTTAAACGGAAAACCTAACAAAAAAAAAAACTGAAAATTCGCAAATCGAAAAACTGAAGATACAAAAAATTGAAATTGAACAAATCGAGAAATCGAAAAATCGATATATTGAAGAAAAATAGAGAAATTGAAAAATCCCAAAACTGAAATGTCGAAAATGCAAGATTCAAAAATCTAAAAATTGAAAAATCGGAAGGTGGAGGAAATCGAATCCATTATTTGAAACACCAAAAAATCGAGAAATAAAAAAATTTAAAAGCGAAAAATCAAAAAGTTAAAAAATAAGAAAATTGAAAAATTTGGAAATCGAGTAATTGAAAAATTGAAAATCGAAAATTAAAAAATTCGAAAAGTTGAAAAATAAAAATATCCAAGTATTCAAAAGTCGACAAACTGAAAAATTTGAATTTTAAGAAACCGAAAAATTGAAAAATTGCATATCGAAAAACTGAAGAAACGAAAAAAAAAATTGGAATTAAAAAAAAATCCAAAAATTCGAGAAATTGTAAATCGAAAAATCGCAAATCGAAAAGCTGAAGATACGAAAAAATCCATAATTTGGAATATCAAAAATTCGTAAAATTAATAAATTAAATGCGAAAAATAATAAACTTTAAAAATCGAGAAATCGAAAGTCGAAAATTTAAAAATTCGAAATGTCGAAAATCAAACGATCGAAATTTTCAAAAGTTAAAAAATTGAAAAATCAATAACTTGAAACACCAAAAAGTCAAAAAATTAAAAAATTTAAAAGCAAAAATCAAAAAGTTAAAACAATTGGAAAATTGAATAATGTCGAAAAATCGAAATTTAAAAAAAATAAAAAAATGAAAAACCAAACCTGAAAAACGTAAACATTGAAAAACTGGAAAATTGAAAATACGAGAAGTCGAAACATCGAAAAATAGAGAAATCGATTAAGCAAGAAATCGAAAATTTCAAAAATGGACAAAAATAGAAACTTAAAGACGCCAAAAATTCAATTTGAAACAAGAAAAAATTTAAAAATCGAAAAATTGAAGAATCCAAAAATTTAAAAATGAAAAAATCAAATGTTTCAATGAACAAAAAACTGAAGAATTAACAAATCGAAATTCGAAACGTAAAAAAATCGAAAGATCGAACCATCGAAAATTTAAAAAATAAAAAAATTGAGAAATTAAAACCTGAAAAATCGAAAAATCATAAAATTGAAAAATCGAGAAATCATCGAGGAATTGAGAAATGAGAAAATAAAAAAATCGGAAACCCGAAATTCTAAAAAGAAAACAATGAAACCTCAAGAAACAAAACTGTGAAAAACTGAAAAAGCGAAAACGTGAAAAATTGAAAAATTGAATAAACTGAAAAATCTAAGATTAAAAAATTCGAAAAACTGAAAAACACAAAAATCGAAGAATTGAAACATTGGGAAATCAAAAAACCTAAACTTTAAAATATCGAAAAACCGAAGAGTAGAAAATTTGGAAAATCAATAAATTGAAAAACAAAAACAAGAAAAATAATCCAGAAAAGAAAAATCGAAAGTCAAAAATTTAAAAATTCGAAAAGTTGAAAATTTGAAAAATTGAAGAATTGAAAAATCGAGAAATTGAAAAATCTGAAATTTAAAAATTGAAGACACTGAAGAAACGAAAAAGAAAATTGAAAGTGAAAAAACAAAAAATAACCGAAACGAAAATTCGAACTAGTGAAAAATTATAGTTGAAAAATTCAAAAATTAAAAATTGAAAGTTCGAGAAAGTTTAAGCGGAAAACCTGAAAAAACAAAAAAAAAAACTGAAAATTCGCAAATCGAAAAACTGAAGATACAAAAAATTAAAAAAACTGAAATTGAACAAATCGAGAAATCGAAAAATCGATATATTGAAGAAAAATAGAGAAATTGAAATATCCCAAGACTGAAATGTCGAAAATGCAAGATTCACAAATCTAAAAATCGAAAAATCTAAGAATAGAAAAACTGAAAAATCGAAAGGTTGAGGAAATCGAATCCATAATTTGAAACACCAAAAAGTCAAAAGATTAAAAAACTTAAAAGCGAAAACCAAAAAGTTAAAAAAATTGGAAAATTGAATAATGTCGAAAAATCGAAATTTAAAAAAAAAATAAAAATTGTAAAACCAAACCTGAGAAATGTAAAAATTGAAAAATCGAAGAACTGAATAATTGAAAATACGAGAAGTCCAAACATCTATAAATAGAGAAATCGATTAAGCCAGAAATCCAAAATTCCAAAAATGGACAAAATGGAAACTTAAAAACGCCAAAAATCCAATTTGAATCAAGGAAAGATTTAAAAATCGAAAAATTGAAGAATCCAAAAACTTAAAAATGAAATCAAATGTTTCAATGAACAAAAAAATGAAGAATTAACAAATCGAAATTCGAAACGTAAAAATATCGAAAGATCGAACCATCGAAAATTTAAAAAATAAAAAAATAGAAAAATCAAAAAATTGAAAAAGCGAGAAATCATCGAGGAATTGAGAAATGAGAAAATAAAAAAATCGGAAAACCCGAAATTCGAAAAAGAAAACATTGAAACCTCGAGGAACGAAACTGTGAAAAATTGAAAAAGCGAAAACGTGAAAAATTGAAAAATCGAATAAACTTTAAAACATCGAAAAACTCAAGAGTAGAAAATTTGGAAAATTGATAAATTGAAAGACAAAAACAAGAAAAAAGGAAAAATTAAAAATAAAAAAAATCGAGAAAAGAAAAATCGAAAGTCGAAATTTTAAAAATGCGAAAAGTTGAAAATTAGAAAAATTGAAGAACTGAAAAATCGAGAAATAGAAAAATCGATATATTGAAGAAAAATAGATAAATTGAAAAATCCGACAACTGAAATGTCGAAAATGCAAAATTTAAAAATCTAAAAATCGAAAAATCTAAGAATAGAAAAATTGAAAAATCGAAAGGTTCAGGAAATCGAATCCATAATTTGAAACATCAAAAAGTCGAGAAATAAAAAAAAAAATTAAAGTGAAAAATAAAAAAGTTAAAAAATAAGAAAATTGAAAAATTGGGAAATCGAATAACTGAAAAATCGAAAGTCGAAAATTGAAAAATTCGAAAAGTTGAAAAATAAAAATAAAAATTATAAAGTCGGAATATTAAAAAAACCAAAATTTCCAAAAATTCTAGAAATTTTAAATTGAAAAATCGCAGATCGAAAAACTGAAAAATTCAAAGTTTGAAGTTAATTTTGACCTTTTGACTAGACAAATTTTGGCGGAATGTTCCGGTTATCACAGTGTTTTTGGAACTAATTAATGAGTGAAATAAAGCCGAACCTCGTCAGACTAATAAGACCCAATCCTGGAAACTTTCACTCAAAAAGGAAAACTGCCGAAAGCTAATTTATTACCCAGCTCTCCCAATGTTTACAGAACAAAGACACCAGAAATGTCACCGCCAACCATAAAACATCCAGCATTAATGTAAAATCGATACCTCTTTAAAAACCCACCATTTTCTCTTTAAACACTTCTAAATTAATGACTCGAAGTGTAAAACCCAAACAATCCAAGCTCCAGACGTGCCAATTAACCCATCTCATAGCCTAGAGCTATTAACCGAGCGATTAAAATTACATTACCAATAGCATTTTCGTGTCTTCGCCTTTATACATTGCACTTAACACACCTCCAGCCCCTGTAAACCCCACGAAAAACTCAGTCGCTCGAGATAAATATCGAACAAGTTGAAATTTCGCAATGCGTCAGACACGAAAACGCAGGTTTGGCCGGAACTCATCGGACCTTAATCCTCTTCACAGTCTTGTTGCTCTGGTTCTTTATTTGGACGAAAACGTGCATCTCCTCGCCGTGGGAGTAAATGGCCTTATCGAGCGATGCAAGCAAATGCACTTTGCCTTCGCTCAGGAGGAAGGGCTTCTCGACTTCGGCGCTTGGCGGCGGGACGCCGGCTAGATACGCCGCCAAACTGGGGCGCTTGCCGCCGCATAGGGAGCGGAAGTTGTCCTGGATGTGTTGCTGTAAAGAAAAATGGCGAGATTATTCAGATAAATTGCATTAAGGGACGCCGATGATAATGGACCGATAAGGGCTATAAATCAGTAGTGACAGTGATGCGGAACTTATAACAAAAAGGGAGACTTTCAAAAAATAAGAGTCGGTTTTATGAGTGTTTCTGTCGTCAGTGCAGTGTTTTATATAAAAAAAAAATCAGTTGTGTTTTGACGTATGGTGTTAATTGATCAATTGACCCTACGGACGAGCCGCCACTGGTAATGACTGGATTTACGTGCAGATCTTTGCAAAAATCTTTGAATTAGTTTAATACATTACTCCTTAACGGATCTTACGCCTTTTAATAAATGTTTGTTTTGCTGGAGGTGAATCATATCCTCTGAAATCTCTGACAGACGTGCTTTATGTAACCGTTTTAATCTGGAATCCTTAGAGAATAGGAGGAAACTTTCTTGAAATGAATTTACTTTAATTTAATTCATCACCCGATGAATTATGGTAGTTTATTGAAGTACTTGAATTTCTCTCTAATTCATTAATGTTTTTATTTAAGTATATCTCCCCATACAAATTGATATGTGTAGAAAATGAAGTGAAATATGTATCTGGTTTTTTGATATTGAGTGATGAATATTTTTTGTAATCGAGTGATCCTTGAAAGTGTAGACGTACGCCTCCTAACCTCAAATTATCACATTTGCTTTTTCGCTTTGTTTTGGTTTTGTGTCCCTGAGAAGCTAAATTATGTTCTTGATAACAATTTCGATGTTATTTAAAAACAGGCCAGGTCAGGTCAGGTTAGTTCAGGTCAGGTCAGGGGTGGGATTTTATTTCTATAACGATAAAATATCGGTACCGATAAAATGTGGTCGTCTTTTTCTTTCGCATCTGAAATTTATATTTTCGTCTTTCTCATTTATCGCTTCGTATCGTATAGGCAGAAACGAAATCGCACCCCAGGCCAGGTCAGGTCAGAAGGGTGAATATATTTAAAGCAATTTTTCGATTTTTCATTTCTTCGATATAGTAATTTTTCGATATTTTAAATTTTAGAGTTGTCGATTTTTCAAATTTTCGTTATTTCAGTGTTGGGATTGTTCAAATTTTCGATTCTTCCATTTTTCGATTTAAAATTTTTTTATTTTCCAAATTTTCAATTTTTGGCGTTTCTAAGTTTGCGATTTTTCGATCTTTCGACTTTTCGATTTTTCAGTTTTACAGTTCTCCTATTTTATGATTTTTCATGTTTTCGATTTAGGACGTTTTGATTTTTTAATTCTCGGTGGTTCGATTTTTCGAATTCCCGAATTTTCAATTTTTCTATTTTTTGATGTTTCGATTGTTCAATTTGCCGATTATTGGATTTTTGAATTTTTTTTATTTAAAAAATTTTCGATTGTTCGATTCTTAAGTTTTGAATTTTCGAATTTTCAATATTTCTAATCTTCAATTTTTCGGTTTTCCGATTTCTGGATGTTTTTTTCGAATTTTTTAATATTAGATTTTTCAAATTATTCGATTTTTCGATTTCTCCATTTTTTAATTCTCCAAATTTTCAATTTTCTAATTTTTCCATTTTCCAACTTTTCACTTTTTAGCATTCCTAAGTTTTCGATTTTTCGGTTTTTCGATTTTTTATTTTCTAGTTTCTCGAATCCTGGACTTTTCGAATTTTTTTGATTTCCCGAATTTTCAACTTTTTGATATTTCAGTTTTGAGATTTTTCAATATTTTGATTCAATTTTTCAGCTTTTTAATTTTTCGATTCCATAGGTTATCGAATTTTTAAATTTTCGACTTTCGATTCTTCCATTTTTCAATTTTTCGACTTCAAATTTTTCCATTTTAAGAGTTTTTTGAGTTTCAATTTATCAATCGATTTTTCAATTTTTCGATTTTTCAGTTTTCGGATATACATATGTATTAATTTTTCCAGAATTTAAATTTTATATATTTCGATTCCTCAATTTGTCAGTTTGCCGATTTCCCGATTTTTCTATTTTTTATTTTAGATTTTTCATTTTATTTGATTTTTCAGTTTCCCGATTCTTCAATTTTTCAAATGTTCGATTCTTCCATTTTTCAAATTTTCCATTTCTCAATTTTCACTTTTCGTTTTCTCGATTTTTTCATTTCCAATTTCTTGGTTCCTGAGGTTTCAATATTTCTTTTATTTTTCAGTTTTTCAGTTTTTTGATTTTTCAGGCTTTGATTTTTCAGTTCTTTAGTTTTTTTAATTTTCTACTGTTCGATTTTACGACTTTTTCAAATTTTCAATTTTCCACTTTTTTCGATTTTTCGTTTTTTAGATTTTTTTCATTTTCCAATTTCTCAATTCTTGGAGTTTTCAATATTTCTTCTATTTTTAGGTTGTTCGAGTTTTCGATTTCCCGAATTTTCAAGTTTTTGATATTTCAGTTTGGAGATGTTTCAATATTTTGATTCAATTTTAATTTTTCCATTTTTCAAATTTTCACTTTTTGGCGTTCCTAAGTTTGCCATTTTCCGATTTTTGGAGTTTTCATTTGTTCGATTTTGTTATTTTTTCAGTTTCTCGATTTTTTTTCGATATTTTGATTTCTCGGTTTTTCAATGCTTCTATTTTCGATTGTTCCATTTTTCGACTGTCAATTTTTTTGATTTCCCGAATTTTCAATTTTTCTATATTTGAGTTTTGCGATGTTTCAATATTTTTATTTAATTTTTCAACTTTTAAATTTATCGATTTCCCAGGTTATCGAATTGTCAAATTTACGACTTTCGAATTTTCAATTTTCCATTTTTTTCGATTTTTCGTTTTTATATTTTTTTCTTTTTCCAATTTCTCAATTCCTGGAGTTTTCAATATTTCGATTTCCTGGTTTTTCAGTTTTTCAGTTCTTCTATTTGTCGGTTGTTCGAGTTTTCGATTTCCCGAATTTTCAAGTTTTTGATATTTCAGTTTGTTTCAATATTTTGTTTCAATTTTAATTTTACCATTTTTCAAATTTTCACTTTTTGGCGTTCCTAAGTTTTTGATTTCCCGATTTTTGGAATTTTCATTTGTTCGATTTTGTTATTTTTTCAATTCCTCGATTTCTTTTCGATATTTTGATTTCTCGGTTTTTTATCTTTTTAGTTCTATTCTTCAATTTTTTGATTTTTCGACTTTCCGATTTTTCAATATTTTCATTCAATTTTTCGACTTTTTAATTGTTCGATTTCAAATTTTTTTAATTTTTCAAGTTTTTGATTTTTGGCTTTTTCGACTTCTCTATTTGTCAGTTTTTCGGTGTCTGGATTCATCGAAATTTCGATGTTTCGATTTTTCAATTGTCCTGGTTCTGATTTTTCATTTTTTTATTTTTGAAATATTCGATTTTACGACTTTGCGACTTTTCGCATTTAAAATTTGTGGATACTTATTTTTCTATTTTTTATTTCAGATTTTTCAATTTATTTGATTTTTCAGTTTCCCGATTCTTCAATTTTTCAAATTTTCCATTTCCCATTTTTTTTTGACTTTTCGTTTTCTCGATTTTTTCATTTTCCAATTTCTTGATTCCTGGGGTTTCAATATTTCTTTTATTTTCCAGTTTTTCAGTTTTTTGATTTTTCAGGTTTTGATTTTTCAGTTCTTTAGTTTTTAAATTTTCTATTGTTCGATTTTACGACTTTCCCACTTTTCGATTGTTCGGCTTTTCGAATTTTCAATTTTCCATTTTTTTCGATTTTTCGTTTTTTTAGATTTTTTCATTTTCCAATTTCTCAATTCCTGGAGTTTTCAATATTTCGATTTTCTGGTTTTTAAGTTTTTCAGTTCTTATATTTTTCGGTTGTTCGAATTTTCGATTTCCCGAATTTTCAAGTTTTTGTTATTTCAGTTTGGGGATGTTTCAATATTTTGATTCCATTTTAATTTTTCCATATTTCAAATTTTCACTTTTTGGGGTTCCTAAGTTTTCGATTTCCCGATTTTTGGACTTTTCATTTGTTCGATTTTGTTATTTTATCAATTCCTCGATTTCTTTTCGATATTTTGATTTCTCGGTGTTTCAGTTCTTCTATTTTTCGATTGTTCCATTTTCCGACTGTCAATTTTTTTGATTTCCCGAATTTTCAATTTTACGATATTTGAGTTTTGGGATTTTTCAATATTTTTATTTAATTTTTCAATTTTTAAATTTATCGATTTCCCAGGTTATCAAATTTTTAAATTTTCGACTTTCGATTCTACGATTTTTCTGTTTTTCGATTTTTCAGTTTTTGGATATATGTATGTATTAATTTTTCGATAATTTAAATTTTATATATTTTGATTTCTTGATTTTGAATTTTTTTAATTTTCGGTTTAAAAATTTTTGCAGTTTCCAATTTTTTGACTTTTCAAATTTTTAATTTTTAAAATTTTCCATTGCTCGATTTTTTTCAACTTTTCGTATTTTCAATTTTTCGATATTTAACTTTTGGGTTTTTCAATATTTCTAGGCTTCAAATTTTCGGTTTCCCGATTTCTCCATTTTTCTATTTTTCGACTTCTCGATTTTTCAATTTTCTTAGTTTTTGGTTGTTTCGATTTTAAAATTTTTTCATTTTCCAAATTTTTATTTTTGACGCTCCAAAGGTTTCGATTTTCCGATTTTTTGGCTTTTCGTTTTCCCAATATTTTCATTTTTCGATTTCTAGATTTCCGGACTTTTCAATATTTCGATTTCTCGGTTTTTTATCTTTTCAGTTCTATTCTTCTATTTTTTGATTTTTCGATTTTCCGATTTTTCGATTTCCCGAATTTTTAATTTTTCCATATTTCAAGTTTGAGATTTTTCAATATTTTGATTCAATTTTTCGACTTTTTAATTGTTCGATTTCAAAATGTTTTAATTTTTCAAGTTTTTGATTTTTGGCTTTTTCGACTTTTCTATTTGTCAGCTTTTCGGTGTCTGAATTCATCGAGATTTCGATGTTTCGATTTTTCGATTTTCCAGGTTCTGATCTTTCGTTTTTTTTTTTTTGAATATCCGATT